AAAATCCTGTGAAAAAAAATTACATTCAATTTTGAAAGCATTATTTGTCTTTTGCTAGTCATTACCTATAGGACATCAAAACCATCTGTGGCTTAGTCTGTTAACGCAGTTTTATTGCGGTGTTTTAATGATCTCACTTTAACTTGGTTTGAGAGAGAGGAGAAAACAAAATCCCAACAGTACAGCAGTAGATGTTACTTGTAGGACTCTTTGTGTCCCTGCTGCACATCGGTTATCACAAAAAGACTTACAAAGAGCAGCCACAACAGCTCCCAAACCAAGAGAATGGCAGCAGCAGCAGTGATACCCTTTCTCTTTAATTAAAGAGTAATAATGCTCTTGACCATATTCTACATTCAACTGAAATTCACAACAGCAAGTGCGTCTGCTGCTACGTCACATCTGAAGCCTTATCTACATCTTTGCCCAGGGTACTACAGTCTTCAGGGCTTCCTCGCTGCTTCGAGATCTCTGTAACTCTTGACAAGATGGAGAAGGAAGTTCACACGAACCGCGTCCACAAAGCTCACTCGCGTGGTCCCACCGGCCTGCCAGAAGTCGAAGGGAACTGCAGCGCCCTGGGGAAGATGTCCACATCAGCTCAACTACCCAACCAGCGGGGACTGAAAACCGAGTTGTCTCTGTAGTAGCAATTAATGCTGACTTCTCAGCTGGATGCCTTGTCTTCATTTACATTCTATAGCTAGCTTTCCATGCAAGCTAAGGAAAACAGGAAAACTATCAGCAAATCATTGAGAAGTAGTTTAATACTGCTAGCTGGGGGGTATTTGATAGGAGGCAGTTCATTCACAGAAGCCAGAAATAAATTACTTGCAATCTCTGTGCTGGCTGCATTTGCAACAGATATAAAAATCCAGCCTAGAAATGACAGGTGCCTTTTGCTTGAACTAACCAAGTATTCCCATTGAGCGTCCAAGATCTACTGTATTTTTAGTGTGTTTCAAGAACATGTTTGTTTCAAACCATTTCCTTTTATTCATTTTCTTCACATATATTAAAAACAAGTTGGGGGGGTTTCTTTTTTTAAACAAAAGAATTATATTCCAGAGAGTAAAAAGTATGAGAAAGTCATGTTAAGTGAAATTTAAGAGAGAGGAAAAAGCTCGGGGGGGGGGGGAGCTATGGAATGTCTAATTTGTAATAATTGTTATTTTTAATCCTGAAGCCCCTATGAGCCTCTAATAAATAATCTATTTAGTCTACGATAGGAGGGTAATCACGGAAGACCAACTCTGCCATTCTGGATCACAAAAGCATTCTTGTACTCTGTCTTATCTCCTGGTCAATAATACATATTGCAAAATAATGCACAAAAGAAACAAACAAACAAAAAAGCTGAGAAAGGGACATTTATTCCTTAATATTTACAGGTTAATTACACATTAAGGAATATATCTCAAGTTATGAGTTTCTCCTCAACAGAAAAATCCACCTAATTTAACTAAAGACACTTTTAAAAGCCTTTTGAACAGATCTCTTTTTTACTGTAACCAAGAATTCCACAGGCCAGTCTAATAATTAGTTTCAGTAAGTTTTGAAGATGCAAAACTGCTCTTTCCCCTCCGTGTTTTAGAATGAGGAACATTCCTACCACTGTATTTATACTACTCGTTATTTTCTTTTTCAGGCTGTCTTCACAAGCAAGACTTCCCATACTTTTAATAGTAGCTTCTATATCAGCTATTAACTTTCACAGACAAGGTGTCAAAGACTGGTGGTAACATCCCACTGGTTTAATGTGTTTCTCATGCATCTCGTGCATCCCTGTACTTCTTTTCCAGCTGCTACTATGGCTCCAGAGACCCTTTTGTTGGTCTGTCCCTCTAACCAGGAGCACAACCAAGCATGAAGAACATCAGTACCCCCAGTTCCTGTTACTCCTGATAAACAGAATCGAATGCTGCCACCTCACTGCACCCCCTTTTAAACGGTTACAAAATTATGCGATGGTATTTCAGATTAAAAAGGAAATACATCCTTAACAGGAAAGTCATTACTAGTCTTGCCAAATTTTCCTTGTATTAGCATAATGATTTCTTATATAGAGAATAATAATACTAACACATGATTTGTATTCATCTCTACTAAAGCTGCCATGGGCATGAAAGCAGCTTTTCAACACTAAGTTTGTGCTGTTAAAAAAAAAAAAAAAAAACCCAAACAACCCAAAAAACACAGACAACCCAAAAAACAAACAAGAAAACATCTTAACCATTTGTAGTAATTAGAACTGTTCATACAGTTGAGGAACGGGGTGAATTCAGGTTACCATATGTATCTATACAGCCTGCTTGATCTAGTCAGACTCCATATAAATTCCCGCCTCTAAAAAATGGAAGTTGCTATTGCAAAAGTTGGTTCAGAGAAGCCCTATTTAGACAATGGTTTTCTTTCATGAAACAACTACTACAACTTTTAAGAAGTGGGCCCTCCCTATCCCTATTAATCTAATTGCCCCTGCTTAGGCAAAGAAATGGGAAGTGCTTTCAGAAGACATTAGCTATTTGAAGCACCACTTTGCAACCAGCAGAGACAAGGATCACTATCTTTAATTGCTGAAAGATGACCCTATGTTCTCCAGTAGATTATGCCGCAAACAACTAGCATGAATCCAAATTTACTCATCTGTGCCAGGACACCTTGCTAAGTAAAAATACTAAACTTTTCAATCCAAAGCACCAATTTTACCCAACCTAACAAAAAAGCCAGAAGACAATTAAAAAAAAAAAAAAAACACCAAAAAACCCAAAACACCCCACAAACACAAAAAACAAGCATAGCAGTTTTCTGCAGTTTTCCCAAAAACCATGCTCTAAGTCCTGACCTCTGAGCTAACCACCCACTGACATTTCTAGGGATGGCCTGTGTGAACACAAGTCTAAATTTATCCCTTAATTCGTGAACTTTGGTTAAATATGGAATTTGGTCTTTCATACTTTTTCTTAGTGACAACATCCTTGCAGTGTAAATAAACCAGCCAGAGCACTAAAATATTCACCGAACCCTTTGGGAGCAGAAAGACATTTTAAAAGGATACTTTTCATGCTGAAATTTTAGCAAAACTACACATACCTGAAACATATTTCAGCGCAGTGTC